GAGAGAGAGAGAGAGAGAGAGAGAGAGAGAGAGAGAGAGAGAGAGAGAGAGAGAGAGTCGAAGATAGGCAGAGGCGTACATCGGTACCCCGGTCACGACGATTGCGCCGCAGGTATTTATAGCACAGCCGAACCTGTTAGGGGGGATTTGGTCAGAGGAACTCATGCACGCATGCACGCGGTGTGATTCTTTCCACCGAAGATTGCCCGAACGGAACCGCCATTTTGATGCCTTCGCCATGGCTGTTACCTTCAGGGGTTCAGGTCGTGACGCAAGCGATTGCGCAAAAGATGTCGTTAGGCACCTCGTCTAACTCATAATTTCGAGGTCGGGATAGCCTGCGGTTGATTTCGAGCTCAGGGACAAGAGAGTCTTTCGAGAAGATTCAGAAAAGATCATCCTCCTCGAGGACACCGCGGACGTAGGGATTTAAATTTCTCTATTTCGACCACTCTGCATTTCGGGGTGCTTTGAGCTTTGTTTACAGAAGCGACTTACTTTTTAATTTACCCGCATATTCCTAGTGATTTTTGTAACATTAAGATATTTTGTGTGTGGCATTTATATATATTACTTTTTTTTAATAATTTAATTTCAAGCACGTAAAAAATGTTAATTGCAAATAAAATTAAATAATATTTTTTTTTTTGCAAACGGAAGAATGTCGAAGTATGTAATATTGGTATCCCCGAAGATTATAGGCGAAGAGACTTTTCTTCCTTCAATATATTTTCCAAAATGACCTCAGAGTAAAACACCGCGTCCTCGCGCAGATAATTTCCTGGTTGTCGCTCTAACAATGTGATTACACAGTGTCCTCGTGCTCATCGAAAAGCACTTGATAAGTCTCGAAAGTCGAGAGATCGCGTGCGTCGCACATCCAATAATAGATTATCTTTAAAATTGTGTAAAAGCACTGTACTGCGTTGCGACGAAAAAAAATTATAAAGTTATTATTATTAAATAAAATTATAAAGTTATTATTATTAAATAATAATCAATATTGCCGACGATAAAAAGTTAGCGACATCGCTCATTTACTGTATTTATTATATATTTATTACTTTATTTCTCAGGTCCTTATTTATTCAATTCTACATTGGTACATAGTGGACATGATTTTATTGATGCAAAACCGATATCTTATAATTGATTTTTACATCAATAATACTCTTTCTAATGCAAAATTATCTACATAAATAAAGTAATAAATATATAATAAAAAAATAATGTCGCTAAATTTTTATAGAAATATTGATTGGAAAAAATATTGATATCCTATGACGATTTTGCATCCATAAATCCATCACTTTAGGAAATCATTTTATCGTGGGAAATCTTGTAATATCGTTCTCAATATCCATTCGTTTCTCTTGAAAGAAATAACAACGGGAGGAGGTGATCGGTACCGCAATTAGTTATCGCTCGCTAATTAAAGACAGTTACTTGTCCGCGTACTCTGAGACATGCTCGAGGAGAAAAGTGGGAGATCACGTATGCGTGCGAAGGACGAACGTACGGCGAAATGGCCGTAGCCACTATACGGTACCTGCGAATCCTCAAGGTTGCTCATAAATTCAGACACGGAGAGCAGCGGGCCAACCGCCAACTGACGGTTATGATCGTCGTCGTCGTCGTCACCGTGTCGTCGTCATTGCCTCGTCCGTGCATTACGTATGCCGACTGTCGAGTCCCGATCGGCTCGCATACGTATCGAGATTTAATTCCTGTCTCACCTTGTGTCAATGTCGCCGTTCGTATGAGTCGTAAATCCGTATCGCGTGTTAAGTGTTAAATTGTACGAGCCTTGGAATGAGAAGTTTGTTGAAATTCTCAGTTTATGCCGTACCGAAGAAAATTGTAAGGTCGGAACTAAAAAGAGCAAGGTCTCATGTTTTTCAGAAAAAGCCTTTGTGTCATATTGCTTTCTGCAGTGTTTTCTATAGGATTTTTTATTTAGATTATGATGAATTTACTTCATACTGACCAAAGATCAATCAATACAAGTTCAGTCAATATAAATTTAAATCGAATTTATAAATATGGATCATCGACAGATGATATCAACAGGATGTTAATAATAACAAATTAGTTCTTTTATTGGAATATATTCGATGTATCGAAAACTTCCTTGTCAATCGATAAATTACTCATAGGTAAAACACCAGACCTCTCAATTGTCGTAATAGTATATTTTATTAATGAAGGAGATGTGTATGTGAATCTTTAATAAAATTTTCCAATCCATTAAATCAAATTAAATAATAATATATAAAAGAATTCAGTTTGTCGTATTCAGCTCAACAAAAAACAGATTCGTAGAAATTTTTTTCTTTAATTCGATACAGTTCTTTACAATTGGGACAAACTGTCTCAAGATTTTTAGTAAATAATAGTTCATCATAATGCTGGAATATAATGGAACATTTTTCTCTTTTTTGTCAATAGATCGAGACAAAACTGATGATGATCGTGCAACATCTCCGGAATCCTTTCGCAGCAGCAGTCCGGCACCATCACCATCACCCCCACACCCGGTGACAAGTAATGCTACCAGCCCGCCTCCAAGACGGTTTATCTCCAGCATCCTCGGCGGTGACGTGCCGTATGGTAGTAGACGTCATGTGCTCACCAGGGCGGAGCGGAAAGAATACAGTAGCCCACCGATAGCCTCGGATGATCCACCACAGTTCCTGTCCAAGTCAGAGAAGGTTGCATTGCCCAGGCCGCAAACACCACCGAAAGCACCCCGTGTTGAACCACCAACAAGGGTTTCCGTTATCCAGAGGGTGCCATCCCAAGGTACTTCTAGGAAAGAAGAAAATAAGATCGAGATTGAAAGAATTGATCCAATACAAGCTCCAGAACCAGAACAGGTAAACCAAGCAACATAAATGAGAAATGAGGAGACTTTAAAACTAGTTCTAGAACAGTGAATAATCGTGCATTTATGCATTTTTCTAACTAAGGCCACCCATCTTTCGAATGTCCTATGTTTTGACTCTGTACTTTTTGTTGTCTGGATAGTAATCGATATATGTTCGTCGGATAACTACAGCAATGATTTTGCATTGTATGCAATTAAAATCATTTCATATATTTCTTCAGTTATTGAAAAATAACGAATTTTAACAACAATAAAAATATGAATATACGTATAAGATATTTAAGTACATCCGAGAGAACAGAAGTCTATTATTAGGCTGATTCAGTTATGCTTCGTTAATTTCGACAGGATTTCGTTAACTTCCTTGCAATGCCTCATACATTATGTATAACGACAAAGCGGATAAAGAAGGGCGAAGAAAATTTTGCATGATATTATGCGTAACATTACTTAACTTGCGGTCTGCCGAGCAATTTCTTGCGATTTTGTATGCTGTTGTTTTTCATATCAAAGTACGAAAGCTTGTAATTTCTATGAAAATGTGCACAGTAATTCACAGTAATTTCGCGAGTATACGTTATACGAGAAGGAAAAGAGAAAAGAAAATCTCTCTCTCTCTCTCTCTCTCTCTCTCCCCCTCTCTCCTTAGGAACAGAATTTCGATTTTATATCGAAAGTGAAGAATTGTGTATTCGGATATAATGTTATGTTTTGAAAAATGTTCATCTAAGAAATTACATTAATACATCTTGCGCAACATTGTTTAATTTTTTCAATTTAATGGCACATTTAATGAACCAAATTTTTAGAAGTACATTAAAACACACACACACACACACACACACACACACACACGCGCGCGCGCGCGCGCGCGTGCGTGCTATAATTTTATTACATATGCAATAAAATAAAGTATGAGATGTCTTTTTATATATTTTATATTTTAACCTTGGATAGAAAATCTTTAACTTATATATGCATTTAAATCATCAAGTGTGTATTCAATTTTCTTGCAATTATGTCTGTAAATTAACTTTTCAATTTTTTCCTAAATTTTCTTATTAAATTATATTTTTATCTCTTATACTAATAAAATTTTTTTTTTTTTCTTAAACAACTTAACACCTCATTGTATGCTCTTTCGAGAAAATAACAACCGATTCTATTTCGATGAATACTCCTATCATTGTGCCATCTGGAGGTTGGTACAATAGTTCAAAAAAACAGATAAAGAGAGAGAAATAGACAGAGAAGCGACGAAAAAATGTGAGAGTGAAAATCAAAAGTGAAAATATAGACTTCGGTGTTTTTATAACAATCGAAAAGGAAACAATTAATATATTAATGCACGTAAGCAATAATATCAATAATAATATTAATAATAATATTAATAATAATATTAATAATAATTTCAGGAGCAGCCCATAGATTATGCAGTGCCGAAGCGAAAGGAGGAAGATGAAGAGAAGTGTCGTGATGGTGCGATGGCAGCACGCAGCTCCAGCACCTCGATTGCAAGGTCTTTGCTGGCTGTCAAACTGTCTGGGTCCCAGGTGGTACAAGCGGCTGCAGGCCATGGCAGATCGTCGAATTCAGGTGGTTCTTCCGGCGGCGGTGGTGGTGGCGGTGCCAACAATTCCTCACCCTCGTCGAACGGCGGCGGCAGCGGCAGCGGTGGTGCTATGATCGGTGGAGGATGCGGAAACGGGACGATTCTCGGTAGCGGAGGCAGTGGCGGTGGTGGTGCTTTAGGCGGGGGTGCGGGTGCAGGCGGCATGCCCCCCGGAGGAAATGGAGGTCGTGGCAACTACGGACCGAGTTCGCCGCCGACGGGCTCTCTGCCACCGTTCTACGAATCCTTGAAGGGCGGCAATAATCTCGCGAACTTCGCCAATCAGTATAACAGTTCTCAAGGTAAATTAATAATAAGTATAAGCGCGTCTTACCTGCTTTTTTCATTTTACTCATTTCCTTCACGTCAGAAAGACGTGAATGATTTTCAGTCGACTCTTGACTCGATATCTCGCCGCTATGAAATCTTTTTAATGATACGCGGTTCGTTATTGTTAGATCAATTCTATTGTTAGAACATTAACGATTAACATTACATTTTTGATCGTTGCAGACACAACGCTTTTTTTTATTACGTCTGATTAAAGACGTATTAATTAATTGACTAATTAACAAGAAATAGTAGTTATTTCTAGTCATTTGTTTTGTACAATTAAATTGTTAGCTAAATCAACTAAATTTTAGAATTAAATTTATGACATATATAATTCTTTGTATTTGAAGTCAGGCAGTAATATTTATCTTGTCTAAAGGAAATCATCGAAACGGATAACAGAGCGACACATCTGAACAGATCGTGATATTGTTTACATCTTTTGTTCAAATAATTGTGATTGTGGCCGACTGTGATCAGTTCTGACTTGAGTGTTTACCGTGCGGTTGAGCAATTCGGTTATTTATGTCTTACAAAATTGTAATAGTATGTCCTACACTTGGACGCATCGTGTGTCAAGTTATCTTGTACATTATTTTTTGCTGCTATTATAGTTTTATTTTTTTGCTATTTATTTGTTTTTGTTTTTGCTATTATTTATACAGGAATATATATTGCCTTTTAAGATATTATTAAATTATTGTGATATTTATCTTCAGACATCTAGTCTCTATGATGCAAACATTATTGCAGAATTTAAAATTGCAAGGTATCACTTTTTTTGGCAAATCTAATTGTAAGATGTTATTCTGTTGCATGTATAATTTTTTCGATGTTACTCTTAGTGTGGCATAAGTTTCTTTTATTTTGTTAAGCAATAACTCTTTTATTAATGACGATACATTATGAAAAAACAAAACGATGTACAATAGATTATATTTTATCTCAATTAATTAAATTATCACAATACTCATTCTCTGAAATCCTGCTGAATGGAATAATGCATCAATTGTCAAGATGTTATTATCCTTTCAGTAGATTTGAAAAAATACGTTATGTATGTGTATACAAATTTGTTAAATTTATTAAGATTCATGGATCTTTATTGTTGGATTTTCAATTATCTGTGTCGTTATTCAGGAAATGCGTATCTCACACCATTGACGGCCGTTGGGATTGAATGCGATACCGGTCAACAGGACAACTCACAGCACGCGCAGTATAATGCACAGGAGGGCAAGCAGTACTCTCTTCTTCAGAATGTTTGCGCAAATGTTTGCGCCTCCTACGGTTTGACGTTTAAGGAAGAGGAGGAAGAACTAGCGGGCTATAAAATTCAGCCGAACGACCTGCTTCCTTCCCAATATGGCACCTACGATGTCACCGATACTGGAATGATGGTGGATATGGTGACTGGTACCATGGTAGTGGATCCATTGCAGTTCACTGCAGCGACCTTGACCTTCAACTCGCCGTCTGATCACACGGCACTTCTCGAAACTCTCAGCGACGCGGCGGACCTTCTGTTGCCCAGGCTGCAAACCGAAGATGGTGGCAGCGATCTCTTGGAAGAATCACTACACTCGCCCGCATCGACTGGCAGCAGTGGAATCGGTCAGGACGCCGGTCAGATGACCACTCCCGTTGAGCCTAGCGTCGATCCTTTCCCCGAGCATAGCATGGCCTTGACTAGAGGCTTTGACACGAGGTGAGTTCATGCTCAACTAGCGTGAGGAACTACTCGCGCGCTCGTTGATTTAATTAATACTATCTCTGCCATTCGCTGTTTGCTTTCATCGTAGTTGAATTTAAAACCCAAGTATCTCCATATAAATATGCCATTTGTAAATTTCAATTGCAATATAAATTGAATAAAATAACATATTGATGATAGATCGCGTGCCCTTTTTCTCAGACACTATACAACTCCGCAACATTTTAACGCATCCAAGTTGGCGGGATTGAGCTACGCAGCCGGCGAGACGAGTTATCAGTCGCTTCAAAAGGAACGTCCAGAGCTTGCGTTACATGTCAATCAGAATCATCAACATCAGCAAGATCAGCAGTTACAAATTCAGGTGCAGTTACATCAGCAGAAGCAGCAAGCTAGCTCACCGCACCAGCAGCAACAGCAACAGCAGCAACAGCAACAGCAGCAGCAACAGCATCAAAGTCTTCTGAGTCCCGGATTGAATTTCAATAACGGTAACAAATTATCATGATTGTTTTTATATTTTTGTATAATTATTACTGAATGAACGTTGATATTTTTACACAAATAAGTTTGTACGTAGATAGTAATATCTCTAAAATTATCAATTTAATGTATAACATAATATAAATGTTTTATGTGTGAGACATACAATGATATTATAATATTTGAAAATATAGAAATTGTAAAAAGTAGTACAATTTGTCGCGGAAGATTCTTAGATTTCTAACGGAAGATTTTTAATTCGTTGATCTAGGACTAAGGATTAATACCGCGCTAACGGTTCGGTTACTTAATCTCGAAGGTTTAGAGATAGACTCCGGTAGCAGCGTAGGCGGAAGCTTACCCAGCCCTGGCACTGCGAGCTGTTCCTTGGATGGAGCCTCATCTGGTACCTCACCGTCATGCGGACTGGGAGAACACGCGCACAGTCCACGCATAGCAGTTGTATCACCCACCACCGTCGCAACTCAAGCTGCTGGATCGGTAGGCGAACCGCCGCTCTCGCAACGGGTCGGTGTACTTCAACAAAGGGTAAGCAACCCAAATTGATCCAGGCAAAAGCATATATTTTCGTTTCACAATATTAAATTACCTCCCGGAATCGAGTTTTAACGACACTTAGAAATAATGTCGTTCGTGATATAATTTATGAGTTCCTTGAATTTTTAATTGAATTGTTCAAGCAAAATTGTAGATCGATACACAAATTCTTACGTGAGATCGATATGTAAAGATGATAACGAGTGGAATGTTAATTCCCATTCTCATATTATGCAATGCTCAGTCAATTTGAGTGCTTCATCCGATGTCATCTTCTGATCGTCACGAAAAACACAGCGAGAATTAACGTATATTCTCATCGTAGCTGGGTTTACCGAGCGATTGTCAGCTAGAATTTGTTAATGGTGGTCATGGCATAAAGAATCCTTTAGCCATCGAGGGTCAGAGGCAGGCCGCAGCTACTCGGGATGAAGAAAGAGCTAATCGCACTCCGCCTGGCAAGGTAATGCTGCTTTGTGCGTTAGCTCTGCGCAATCTTCGTTACTAGAGACATGGCTGTGACATAACGAATTCATCGTATCGAATCGCGAGTCGATGCCGCAAGATTGCAAGAAGTCGTTATAGCACTCTGATAACTCTTTGACTCTTTGCTCAACAGGACGATGATCCCAATCGCTTTACCTGCCGCGTGTGCAGCAAGAACTTCAGTCTTCAGCGACTTCTTAATCGTCACATGAAGTGTCATAGTGACGTGAAGCGTTATTTGTGTACGTTCTGCGGGAAGGGCTTCAACGATACATTTGACCTTAAGAGGCATACGCGGACGCATACAGGTGTGCGACCTTACAAGTGCTTTCTTTGCGAGAAGAGTTTCACGCAACGCTGCTCGCTGGAGAGTCACGGTCAGAAGGTGCATGGCGTTCAACATCAGTATGCATATAAAGAGCGTCGCGCTAAGGTAAGTTAACTTTCTAAGATTGAAACATCAAAGTAATATTTTGCATCTATTATTCTATTATTCTCTCTATATATAGATATCCTCCATATATATATATATTTGTAAATATTATAAATTTTAATTTGTTATCTGCATGCGATGTGTCTGTTTGATAGATGTATGTCTGTGAGGAATGTGGACACACGACGCACGAGCCGGAGGTGCATTATCTTCACTTGAAGGAGCAGCATCCTTATAGTCCGGCGTTATTGAAGTTTTACGACAAGCGGCACTTCAAGTTCACCAATAGTAACTTCGCCAATATGTTGCTCCAGGTCGGCACAGACACCTCCGCATAGACACGATAGTAAAATGTTGATATTCGTGTAGGTAAAATATAGTTAGCGTATTAATTAACCAACGATCTGATATAGAAAGGCTTGAACGAACAAAACAAAATACACAGCGCGGTATACAAGAACACATTTAAAGACATTTAAGAAAGTAATTCGAGACACTGTCCCCGAGAATGGGTGCGTTGTTAATAAAGTTTAATAAAATTAAATTAATTAAAAGTAGCGTCTTGTCAAATGCTACAACAATTAACGCTACAACAGTGTTTTTCTTCGAACTTTGTCTTTCTTCTCCGAAAAACGGTAATCTCTTCCTTCTGAACTAGGAAGAAAGAAACAATGAACAAACAAGCTTAAAATATTTCATTTTCATCATATCGGCGAGAAACTTAAGAGAAATATCGTGTACATGACTTCGCGATCATCGTAGCAACAATCGAAGATTATCTATTACTTTTATTCTTCTTTCCTCTTTTCCATCATGTCCTCTGCCTCTTCTACGTGTGAATTTAAAGGCGGCAGGAACCAAATGATCAGATCCCATGAGATTCCTCAATTGGATCCTGTCGTCAAACTTCGATGTTTATTTCAGTGTCACCGCAATGGGAGCGACTTGCAGGTACTTTACGCGCGAAACGTTATTCCTTTCGTCAGCCTGATTGAAGGATGAATGCATGATCGGCATCTTTCCTTTTCTCTCTTTTTTGCTTCTTTCTATCTTTATCTCCTTTCCTCTCCCGGATTCTCGTTCTCAATAGATTTAGAAGCTGGTTGATGTGCCGCATCGCTGCTCTTTGAGTTTCTCGTCGCTCTCCGATAGATACGAGTAAAATGTTGATATTCGTATAGGTAAAATATAGATAGCGCATTGATTAACCAATGGTCTGATATAGAAAGGCTTGAACGAACAAAACAAAATACACAGCGTAGTATACAAGAACACAAAATTATTCTTGTTGATGTAACTTTTCAGGGTGGCCTGTTACAACGGGACTCACGGAATACGGACAGCTGTGGCCTTGCGGAGCGACGAGAAACGGTCTCGAAGAGCAGCGATGCAGCACATCAACAGACCAGCTTCTAAATCCGTTGAGAACGAAAATCCGGGAGAGGAAAGGAGATAAAGATAGAAGTAGAAAGAAGTAAAAAAGGAGAGAAAAGAATGCCGATTGATCATGCGTTCATTTTTCAATCAGGCTGATGAAAGGAATAATATTTCGCGCGTAAAGTACCTGCAAGTGGCTCCCATTGCGGTGACACTGGAATAAACATCGAAGTTCGACGACAGGATCCAATTGAGGGATTTCATGGGATTTATGATCATTTGGTTCCTGCCGCTTTTAAATTCGGGTAGAAGAGGCAGAGGACATGATGGAAAAGAGGCGAAAGAAGAATAAAAGTAATAGATAATCTTCGACTGTTGCTACAATGATCGCGAAGTCATGTACACGATATTTCTCTTAAGTTTCTCGCCGATACGATGAAAATGAAATATTTTAAGCTTGTTCGTTCATTGTTTCTTTCTTCCCAGTTCAGAAGGAAGAGATTACCGTTTTTCAGAGAAGAAAGACAAAGTTCAAAGAAAAACATTGTTATAGCGTTAATTGTAGCATTTGACAAGACGCTACTTTTAATTAACTTTTAATTTTATTAAACTTTATTAATAACGCACTTCCGAGTTCTAATGATGACAGCACATCGGACGCTCAAACTCTAACGTTCTGTCAGAAGAGCGTTCTGAAGAACTTTCAGACTTGCGTGTTGCGACGCTATAAAATTTCGCTTCTACCCATTCTCATTGGGGACAGTGTCTCGAATTACTTTCTTAAATGTCTTTAAAACTTCTTATAGTTCTTCTTATAATTTTAACAGATTAATTTAAAGAAATTCTAGAACTGATAATAGATTACAGGAGGATGCATGGGACATACGCACACATACACACATATTCTGATACAATCTCATATATAGTGCTTAGCTGATAAATATTAATATTGTGGACTAAGAGGCGCGCGCGACATCGAGCAGACCCAAAGACTCGGATAGAACGTTTCAGGAATGCTGATCATCCTCGGCGAGCGTGTCGAGGCGGGAGAAGAATGCGATCACACGGAAGATTTTTTTTTTCTCAGAGATGTACGGCGAGTTACGTTATTTTTCGACTCGATGGGCGAAATGGGATTCTTGACGTCGCGATCGCCAGGGATTTCCTTCGATCGCGGCCTTCGCCCTTTATTGTCATCGATTGATCGGGGCACCAGAATCGAAGGAATCCGCGTTGCTCGAACGTCGGGTATCGCGAAAAACGGGGCTAGATCACGATCGGCGAAGTGACTTTGCACCGTACCATCGTAGAAATAGAGCTCCGCGCTACCGGTGTCATAGTGAATAATCAGAATAATTAAAAATGAACTCTTCACGCCGCGAATGCAATCGACGATTTTATCATCAAGAATCGATGTTAAAATTAACTTTTGATTTTGATAGAGATGTTCCAAGTAAACATTTGTTACAGCGGCACGATACGCCGATATCGTTTTAGATAAAACTGCAGTTTTTATTATCCTCATTTTTTAATTATTTTTCTAAACGCCGGTAGTGTACATATATACATATATACATACATACATACATATATACAATACTTATAGTAAGTTCCCAACCGAAGTGCACTTTGGGTAATCTGTGATATGATAAAAGTAACAAGACAATCCACTCGCTCCTCTACGCACAGATTTCGCTTTTCCGCTCTCTTGTGCGCTTGTGGTTTTTTTTCCTTTTCTCTCTTTCAGGATTAGGTAGGGAATAAGTAAGGGTAAGAGGGCATGCACACCCTATATACATATATACATGCACGGATACACGCACACACGTACACGCACACACACGCACGCACACACACGCACGCACACACACACACGCACACACATACGCACACACACGCGCGCGCACACACACACACACACACACACACACACACACACACACACACACACACACACACACACACAAAACGGGATTTCGTGCAATTCTAAGATGGCAGTACATTTTAATCGGGCGACCGATATATTCTGCTCTTTCCTCTTTTCACGAAAATAGAATGGCTCTCAGGTTCTAAGGGATGATCTTGGGATGATTAAAGACAATAGATCAGCGAGCAATAAGCTAATTTCTCGGGAGACCAAAAAAGATTAACATTTGCAAACGCGATCGTGAAACACAATTCTCTTTTTACGCAACATTTTTTAATATGCCTGCTGGTTTCTATCTCATTTGTAGGCATAAGAATTGAGTAATTATATCTTTAAATTGTATCTTATAGCGCTATCTCCATTTTCATTACTCACTCTTCTTCCTTGTATTTATTTGTACTATAGGTCATTTATTATAGAGTAAATGATGTATATATGTACATAGGCTTATTCACGTTGTCCCCGTGGCAGTGCGCGTTATCAAAAGGTTAGAAAGGGCCGCGAATACACGATGACCTCGAAAGCATAATTCTTCGACTTTTGAGCGAGCGCGAGAAAGTGCTTCGTAAATGCTTTATAAATTATCTATTTTTATAGAGAACATTAAGAAATTGAAATTAAAGATTATACATATTATCTGCAACTTGTCAGAAATGTAGATTATAAATATCTGAAATAGGCGAAAATTGATGGAAATTGCCCAGTAGGGGTGCACCGAATCATAAAATTACTGAATATCGGATATCCAAAAAGAATGTGATATTGAATATCTGATTCGATATCTGATATCCGGGAAAAAAAACAATAATAATTTTCTTTATCTTTCCAACGTGAAAAAAAAAAGAGAAAGATGAACTGTGCAAGAAGTTCAGCTGAAAAGAATAAAATTCTGCATTAATGATGCAAACTCTCAATGTAAAATTTCAACCGGATATATTACCGGATACTGATATCCAGCTATTCAGTCGGATAGTAAAACAGTACTGGATAATATCGGATGTTACCCGGATATCCGATGCATCCCTACTAGTAAACGAGAATGAATTAAAATAGATTGAAATTTTATCTATCCGAATGCGTATTTTAAATAACAACTTTTTTTATTCAATTGGATTTAATTGGATGGATTCAATGATTCAATTGGATTCAGTTGGATTCAGTTGGATTCAACTGGATTGGATTGAACAATTACCTTTTCTATTCAGAATTTTGAATTGAGAAGTATTCACAAGACATAGGAAAGCTGATGTTATTTTTAGATTGAAAGACGTAATCTTAATAATAAGAATAAAAATGCATTCGGATTGAAAAGGATTTATTTTAACATTCGTGTATGCGTATTTAAATTCTGGCAAATGTATTTCCAGTAACTCGCTCTGACAACTTCAATATGCAGAAGCGATCATATTAAAACTTCAGCTGGATAATGAATGTTATTTTATCACTTTGATCGAATAAGATTTTTTTTGTTATTTATGTTATTTTATCACATTTTTTTGGATCATTGATAGTCCTATGTGGGGTCCCGATTAAAAATATAAAGATAATTGTATCATATAATTAAGAATATAGGAAAATTTATTGTATTTAAAATTGAATTAGATCCGTCTCGTCGTACGAAACGTGTCCGCCCGATGGTTAACGCGCTGAGAGGATTTGACAATCTCAATCGAATGTAATGTAAATACACGCCGTATAAGACTCTTAGGCAGATTACTGATATATTTAATTCTCATATATATTCACTCATGTATATGTATTCGTTTTTAAGTCCGCGGTTGCCTCGGCGTAGGCGATGACGCCACCCGCCGTGAGACGCTCATCCCTATTGTAAATAATCTTCATTACGACGGCGGAAACGGGTACCAGTTAATCCGCAATTGTCAGTATCTTGCTTACGACAGTAACGTACATATAATGTACTTGTACAGCGAAGGACTGAGAAAAGGAGGACCAGCACGGTTTTTCCTGGATTTACACCTCGAAACAAAATACTCGAGGATAACAGTACCTGTCGCGCACTGTCAATCATAAGTTAATATGTTGCGTATTATCATTCTTATTATTATTTTATTATTATTATTATTAACATTTTTAAACGATAACATTCTATCTATGTTTCCATTACTATTTAATTTACGCTCAGTATTGTCGCGAATAATAGCACTTAGCTATACTTTCCAGCAAATTTATCGATTTGACTATCAACTTAATTATCATCATCCCTTTTATTTTGTTGTTACTTCGATATTTGCGAACGCTATTAATTTTCTGCGGCGTTGAATTTTCTCATCCCTAGTACATAATGATCTGTCATCATTATTATTATTATTATTATTTTTATTATATCATTATTATATTATCATTACATGCGCTGAATAAATTTAATTATTGATTCTAAAATTAATATTATAGATAGTTGTACACGTACGCAGGATATATAGCTCGATGTAGAGTGTTTCTTAATTATATATATATATATATATATATATATATACTTCAATCTAGAATAAAAAAATGAGAAAAATAATATATAAAGATAGATTGTTTAAGCTTTATCTTCGTTGTAGTAACCTAGAGAAAATAAAATTATTTTAAACTAAGACTTTCTAAGGATCGTAAATGTGATTACACAACAAGTAAGGAATAAAGATCTTTAACAATCAAGCTGGATCTTAGGCTTCAATAATTTCGTGTGAATTTATATACTATATATGTAATCTTTTAAAATTGCGAGGCGAAATGATTTTTCGGTCTTGAAAGACTCAAGACTACAGTAGTAATATCATAAATTAAATTTACAAGCAATTTAATTTGATGCTCATCTTAGAAAGATCTTAATGATGCTGAATAATATATTATTAAAATATTAAAATTTGTAAATAATCTTATTGCGAAAAAATAAGATTATTATTAGATATTCTAAAGTGTCATTCGAAATAACGTAATATAATTGTAATATATACGTATTTTATTTCGAATTGTATTTTGAAACATATCTATATTTACCGATTGAAGTATTGGCTTATAATTAAGAATCAGTCTATATAATATTTATCGAATTGTTCGATTGTAGAAGCGATCTTCTTTGCAGAACGCAGAGAGAAGATTATAACTGGGGAATAGCTACGGCATAGTGTACAATTTGCCCAATTTATAAGAATAAAATAGAAAAGTTATTTTATCTGAGAATTATCGATTATTTTGTACAGTCTCATTCCAATTCTTGTACTTTTTTACGATGCGTCTCGGCCAATCTGAACACAAAGAGCATTTAAATAAAGTATTAAACTCTATATATAGTATAATAAGCCTTTTTTTAAGTTCTTAAGCTGTTAGATTTTAATTAGTCCTAAGCTCTAAACTTTACAGTCGAGATCTGATTAACTTACTTAAAGTTTACACCGAAAAAGGTTTCTTATTAAAAAAAAAAATCGTCACAATTTAGAGTTCAGAACAAAAGACTAAAGATTTAATAATACATCTTTTTTTTGTAAATTTTCCCTCGGATGAGGGAAATTAGGCGCCTTTTGGGCAATATGCGCAAAGACAAGATTATACTAAATTCATTACACTGTTAATCAAACGACTCGTAAACAGAGTCCCTTTTTTTTCTATTACACAGTAATTCTAAACTCCTCATACAATTCCCAACAGTCTTAAATCTTTCAAGCTTTTTCATAACGGCCTTAAAAGCCTTCCAATTCCAATATGACAAAACTAAATTTTTATCAGCAAACAGCGCAGAAATATGCGGGACGCCTGAGATCGATCCCAGAACGGAAAATCACGAGTCGAGCGTGCTACGCACGCAGCTATTCGACACTTCTGATAGTTACTTATCGACTTTATAAGTTAGTACATATTTTTCATAATTTTTAATAATAACATCGTTATATTGTCGTTATATATATATATATATATATATCATTACATTATCGTAAGAAACAAGTTGTGGAGATGCTCAAGAGACAGTTAAAGTGTTTGGTTCAAGGTTCTAATCTATCGCGTGCAACGGCATTGTAGATCCCGTAGTCTCTGCGTATCACAAGCAAAAGATGTACGTATGAGAGGTAGGCCTGACTAGTTCCCAAGAGACAAAACGAACCATACTTATGACTATTATGTGCATTCCAGTTGTACCCGTTACGCGACCCATGGAATCTGGAATTAAACATCTCTTGAGCATTTTCAACTTGTTTTTTGGTTACACTGACAATTCTTATGTTTTTACCATCCTCTCTAATATCTATGATTGGATTGATTTTTCTGCTTGTCAGACAAAAGATCATACAATTATTCTTGATACAATGAATGAAATTGCTATTCTGAAGCTCCAATCTTCTTTGGATTTAATTATTTCAAATATATTATGTATATAACTCTTGGTTTAATAAGAATGTTTAAAAGAAAGCTTTTCGCTTTAAAAATCTTCATGTATAAATACAGTTTCTTGAAACATTGAAAATCTTAAATCAGAATGATTTAAGCGAAATAATGTTTAACAGCATACAGTGTCGAAAATATGTATATGGAACAAAATATCTTTTTCTTCTGTAGAATTGAGCAAACACTGATAAGGCAAGCTATTAACTTGCGATTACAAACCGAGCATGTGCAGATCTGAAACAGCGTATAACACAGCTATACTTTCGGTATTTGTAGACAAAATAGATATATGGAATTTTGAAGAGAAGAATGAGAAAGAAAGAGTAGCTAATGGACAGACTTATTGTGTAATATGTTGTACTATATTGTTGAATCTGTAAATTTTATTAGAGCACGATTGCGTTATCCGGATATTAGTGTCCACTTATTAATTAGATCGTTATTAATTGTAGCTAACGGCAAAACATGATTACGCGTTCTTATATATGATTGCGAGAGATAATAAAAATTAATATTGTTTGCATACTCCACATATGTAAGTACCTTGATATTTGATACTCGATCATCGTGTGTTCAATTTCTTAGAAAAGATCGATTTTGGGAGATACAAAATCAATGTCGGGATAAGGATTTACGCATTAGAATCTTTATATCATGCTTTTTATTAATAGAATATTTTTTTTTAAATTTCGCAATACAATTAAAATTTCACAAAATATTCGATGCTGTTCACTCACGTAAGTTTCTTAAATATTAACATCGGGAGCGAACAAAATCCTTCAAATCGCTTCAAAGAGCGAGACTTACATCCATCTATCGTAGCGCTGCAATATCAAAATGATAAGAGAAGAAGTGCTACGGCTAAACTACTACTCCAGGATGCGTTTTATCTGCAACAAAGAATGATGCCGGTGATAACTCTTCAATAAAAGCGGCGAGAAGCGCGGCGGTATAGGTGACACGAAATTTCGAGGCCAGTCATTCGACCTGGCCTGCGTGCAGCTCCGGAAGGGTGGGTTTTTCGATGGGTGCTTTCGCCGATTATTTTGGCTATTTCATCGACCAAAATATGTTGTGCTTGACGTGCTTCGTTAACGCGCACTTTTTTTGTTTACTCACTGCTGATTACGGAGCTGAATGTCATGTATCTGGGAGTCCGCAGAGCAGCACCCTTACGCGATGTAGATGGCTTCTCTTCGTTACTGAGTCGTTTCACCTGAAAGGAATTTCATTATCTTGAGCATAAAATTATAAAAAATAATTTGCCAAGGATAGCAAGATGTGTTGTTTACTATCTTTGCATTTTCTACGCTTATCGTGTTACATGTGCATATACATATAATGCATACGGTGAATGCAAAAAATATTTTGTGCACAGGAGAGATTTTTAAAAAAGCTTTGTAGAAATTAAATATTAATTAGCAATTTATTAATAATGAGTATGTTCTCTTCTAACATAAATAAAAAAAGCTGAAGATATATTTATGATTTTAGAAGCTAAATTTCTCCATACTTTCTGGTCTAATACAATTTTTCATTTTCGCTTATTGAGATAATATTATATTTGAATTATTACACATCTTTTTAGATAAAATAATTTTGAGAAATATACAAATCTACTTTATTCTTTGCTAATAAATTGCTAATTAATATATATTTTCCAAAAAAAAAAGATATTTTTAACAGATATCTCCTCCAGAGGAATACTTTTTGTACTCGCTGTATATATTAATTTATTCGCTTGCTAATCCTATGTCGAAACATTCGGAAATCTTTTAACATACTGTCTAATAATTTATTCGGCTGGCTCTCGTCGCTGGTAGTTGGACTCGAAAAAAGTTCAGACTTTACGAGTCATTCTGCGTATGATATGATGCCAAGTTCTGTGATGCATGCAAGACTTCTTTCCATAACGCGTCAAATTTTCGCACGTGTGTCTTAACCGCGGTGTCACTTGGCGTTTTCTCTCATATTCTGACGTTTTGGAACTCGAGGCAAGATGAGCATCGATTTTCTCCCGCATAATTCTCACCTGTTCGTCGATCGCCGCAAACTGCCACTTCCATGAGTGATTATAGAGGAAGGGACGGTGATCGAATCGATTGTCATCGGGGCTGTACGACTCTGCGTGACAGGCTGGAGTCAATATCGTCATTTTATGACGATTTATAGCGTAACATCTGTAGAAGTGTTTCACTTTATCAGCAATCTGAAATAAAAAGTTTTTTTTTTAATTTATTTAAAGAGAAATAGCTGACTAAATTAGAATTTTGCTCGAGAAGCACACTCACTTCTTTCGGGGTACAATGATCCCACATATGCACGAGTCTGCAAAACATTGTAAAAGGTCCGGCCTTACTTTGTTTTCTTAACCGTCCAAAAACTGAAAGTTCCTTGTAGGTCATTCCCATATCCACTTCATCTAATTGTGCAAGCTGTCCCGCTTGCAATGGTTCCAATTCCGCGGTGGGTGGCGCATCCAGGATATTATCCAAAGCGGATATTCCATGTTTACGTCTGGAATTCAAATACGGAGAGCAATTGTTACTATTTTAAATGTCTGATCTTACGTGCAAGTATGACATTGTATGGAATATACACAGTGATTCTTAGTTATAGGAAGATAAAATTATTAAATATTTTAAATTATCATTTAAAATAAAATAATTGCAATATACATTTGCATCAATTTAGGCTTCAACTTCCGAATTATAATAGATTAAAATTCACTGTGTATATCACTTATATTCGTACCTAAAATATAAAAGGAATTTCTTTAAATCGTTCTTCGCTATGCCACCTATAGGATTGATGTCGGCGCTGCTGCAATCATACTTAGTGAGGTAACCACGTAACGCTTCGTCCACGTTGCCGCTCCCTAACACTAAGAGGCCACCCGGGCGACCTCTGACCCATAACATTAATTGAGCGAATAAGTAAGCAATCACCATCCGTAACCGAGCCTGAAAGTAAAATAGTAGGCATAGAGATGTGTAATTTGATAATCAAGATATTAGTTCTATCAAAATTTTAGATCGAGCAATTACCTGTACATTTTGCAAGGCCAGATTCTCCCTAGGCGATCCACCTTGCACTCTGAATCTCGGTGTCAATTTAGTTACCTGTTGGAAGATTCCTAAAATCGCAGATATCGCAGTATCTATGATTATCCCATGATGATATGACCCTATTTGATTGGCTAACTCAGCCGCTCGAACCTTGGTCTCTGTCGATGAGTTTTCCGTTCCCATATAGCACGTGACGAGAATAGTGTTGCACAATTGCTTCGGATCTACCGGTACGTATTCACAGTCGCCGACGATTTTTCTGATATCCGCCAAGACTTGTGTATCTAAATATACGAAATAGAATTTTCGAAATTTGAAAGAGACTCTTGTAATTTGAGGGAAGATAGCATAGCTGAGTTTTACCTCCTCTACCAACTGATTCGACGATCATTTCGCACATCGAGTATACGACACATGCTGAAGACGCAGAGTCGACGCCACCGCTCAGTGGTAAGAAAAATCCACCTTGGCAAGATCGTCTAAAACGTAAACATGTAATAATTAAAATTTAAATAATATAACAAGTACGAAGGGTCCTCACATTAATTCAAGACGAAAACTTATATGTGAAAACTATATGTTACAATTGAAAGAAAAATTTCATTTTTTCAATAAAACCATTCGAATTATTTTAATGAAACTTTATGTATGTTTCAAAAATATGAAGGATATCATCTTTTTTTATTCAATATTATAAGAATAAGCAGTGTTTTTAAGAAACAATTTTGGACATATGGTTAAGAAATTTTCTCATCTTAAATTAATGTCAGAAATCATCTCATACCTAAGAACTACTTTACCAATAGTTTTCTATAAACATAATTTCAGTAGTTTTATGATGATAATAAAAAATAAATATCTTGACCATGTTCACGCACCTCAGATAATCCCACAGCCAGCACGCGGGTGCCATCGCGATTTCTTCTTCCGGAGTGTGATACATGAAACTCGAATGCTCATTATCGCCATATACATCCTGGACTCCGTCAAGTGGTCGATCTGGTGGATTTGAGACAAGATTTTGTGGCGTGAGCGCAAAATCGATTTTCACACGCGGATAACTAGGTGACGTAGCAGCCGCGTGCGATCGCGATCTGATGCTATTTCGATAATTCCTGAAGAGGATAGTAGAAGGATGTGTTATGTTATTTTTTATTTTATAATATTTTGCGGATAGGTATGAGACATTTTATAATTACTCTAACATCTAATTATCTCGAGTTAAATCAAGTTTTTTAATATTTCAATATTAATGCTCCAAACCATACTTTGATTTACGCGGAAAGAACAGTTCTGTTGAAGTAATTAAAAATTTAGATATAGATATAAATATATATAATTTTATTGAACTATTAGAATAATTATTATTCTTTGAGTACAGGACGCTCAAACTGATTGCTAGAATGCCGAACTTTTTGCAGAATTATCATCACGATTGAGCATAATTATTTAGATGGTCCAATAAAATTATTTTCATTTGTATCTAAATAAATTTTTAGATACTTTAGCAAAATCGTTCTTTCTATAGAATATTTGAGCACTGATAGCACTATTTATAATCAGAATCCAGATCAATCACTTTTACCTTATATCCTCGAGATCGAATGTGGCGATGGTCACTTCCACGTCCTCAAGAGCGAATTGTCGTCCGCGATTTAATATGTTGCCATTGAGCGTGATGCTGGAACCACCATTGAAGTATAATCTGCCACCGTCACATCCGCGCAAATTACTGAACATGTAGCAGCCGCCAGCCTTGAAAGTAGCTGACTTAACGAGATCCACGGTGATGTAAGCTTTACGTAGCTCAAAATATGAACCGCTTCCTTCCAGAAAAAAATGAAGAAAAAAAAGTAGGGAAACAATTTTCAAAGCGAACATTTGATCTAATCCTAATCCTCTTTTATCCTTTAATTTACAAAAAAATGTAAGTTTAATCTTCATTAGAGAAACAAAAAAAGAGTACAAAGCAAAAGAATAAAAAAAGAGAGAAGAGCTTTAGGCTGACATTTATATTTAGTTCTTATATTTACTTCTTAATATTTATAAACATAGTTTTAAAATGTCATAATGAATCACAAAACTATTAATTATTTTTAATACATCATTTAAAACGTCTTGTAATAAGAACGGACTATGAATACCGGCCTATTCAGTGAATTGTAATGTCAAATACATTTTGTAACAATGGCATTACCATTCGCGATAATTTCCACGCCATCTAATGACATCGGAATATGATTACTGACTGGATGCCAAAGTTCCTCACATATTTCGAAACCTACGCAGGTATCCCTCGTCGCGATGACCGCATCACCAAACGGCACTACGGTCTGACTGGTGAGTTGTGATATCATTCGTGGTAGAAAATAATCCTCGACCGTACGTTCCTAACATAACAAGAAACGGATTATCATGAATCTTGGATACGTACTATGATCGATCGACGGTGTTACCCTTATATTTCATTACTTTGGTCCAAGAAGAGAACCATCTGGTTTCCCTGTAATTGCCGTCCTCGCAGAGCCGCATTTTCGGCCTGATCAGTAAAATCCGTCGATTCAGAAAGGCTACTCTGCAGTTATATGTCACGTTCTTGTGCATCACCGGCATACCTACGTCTATCAATATATCCTCGCAAACACTAGATTTTAGAAGGGTCGCTAAAACTTCCCAGCTATGGAGTAATGTGTCTGATTCATAGAAATGATCTTCGCAGCTGTAACCACTGTTAAATAGTTTTGTAAAGATATAATTGCAACAAAAAAACACATAAAAGTAATAAAGAGAGAATAACCAGTAGTATATAATTTCATAAATTATAATTTCACAATTATATGAAGAAAAAAAATTTTAATCTCATTATAAAAGATATATTCTTCCAATAGGTGGATAATATTTATGGATAACAAGATTAGTTTTTTTCTTCTAATTACCAAATTTCTAGCTCGGGACCGCTCCTGTAAGTGGCACCAGCATCCTTCGCCTCTTGTATACTCTGCAAAATTCTCCTGGTATTCCCATCGAAATCCATCGCCCATTGGTTTAACGTGCACACGGCGACGGTCACTGTACGTCCCATATTGAATAAATGTTCACTGTTATTCTTAAACGAGATTCTCGAGTGCACTTATCTGGAATAAATAAATATACGTTACTTCAACTTCAATAAGAGTTAGTATCGCAAGTTTTATAGAATTACAGTTGTGCAAAATTGTTTTCTCAATTAATAGTTTTGATTCTTCTAAAAATATTTTTTAGAAAGATTATTGAACGCGATAATCGAAGTGATTTAAAACTTATACATTACTACAATAAAAAAAAAAATACAAACATATTATATTAATAAAAAAAAATACAAATATATTATATTAATATTTATAACTCTTTTAAAGATATGTAAATATAAAACATTAAAAGTCATTGATATTATCGTGAGAAAAAGAATAAATAAATTGGTGCAAGAACAAAGGATGCAAAGAACTAGAACGTGAGAAAAATCAAGACAGACAGTTCAATCTGAGAATTGATGCCTCGACACTACTATCGTTTCGTATGCAATTGAATTTATGGCACCATCATTATCGTGACTGTTAAAAGTCGGCGGTTGCGTGTACGTCTGCTGGAACTTCTGGCGGCAACTTGCCAGCAATTTTATTATCAATTGGAATCCCATTGATCGCTTCCCCGAGATGATAAATTGTTCTGTTCTCTTTTATCCGCGCGTTGATTGATCAATAACTCAGAAAACCCGGCACGGTAAGTACCACCTTACGTAGCAACCCTTACAGTTATCGTTATCCACCACGCACACATTCTTCGCATATTTGTCTTCGGAAAATTACTCTCAGCCTTATTAAAATGATAAGATATATTGAAAACGTTGAAAAATAGTCGGTCTGGATAAAAGAAAGAATAAAGGAAAAGAAACTTCAAATAAAAAGAAGATATAAACATATATATATGTTGGAAATTTTATGATCAAATCGCACTTTACTATCCTTACAATAAAATAATTATATATAATATTCCTAATTAATAACAGGTTAATTAAATGGTTTCCAAAGTATAATTTTCAAGTATCCGTTCATTGTTCTTTCATTGATGAAATTCTTATTGAGAAATATTTGTCATACAAAGAGTTTATACCCTACTTTGCATAATATTAATAAGTACTAATGACACATCGACAACATGAACAAATTTTGTAATCAGCGAGTTTTACACATCTTATTATATATGCCATGATAGAAAGTTAATTACACTGTACAATGATAAAATATAGTTTAATAACGTAATATGATTAAATAAGATAATTATTATCTTTACGGTATCATGTTAAATAATATGCTTTTTATTTCACATTTTTATCTAATTATTTATTTGACAAATTTTATATTACATTTATATTTTACAAGCAACTTAAAAAAAATTTTTGATAGCTCAGATCATACAGAAAGCATGATTTTGTTGAAATATTAAAAAATTTAGCTAGAAACAGATTTGATAATAATTTTGTTAGACCATCAAAATAAATAGAATACTTAAGTGTCAATAATGTAAAAAATTTTAACATTCTAGCAACTAGTTTAAGTATTCATAATTATTTTGATGTCTAACAAAATTATTTTCCAATCAGCTAGATTTTTAGATACTTCAGCAAATCTTCTCCTTTTCATGCAACCACCAAAGCGTTGCTGATTAAAAATTAGACGTCGATCACGAACGATTCATAATAATGAAGTTAACATAATAAAATTAACCAAAAGTATCACCCACAAAAGGAAACTTGGATCAACAATGCTGCGCTTCTCTTCCCTATTACTTGGATTAATTCATTCTTGATCGATTGTATCCATTATCGCGCTTAAACTCGTCGCTAGTTTCCGATCAACGAGCTCACACGAGCGTCGCTTACTTCGAAAACGTCAATAGAACGAGTCGAGTTACCGGCAAGATATTATGTCGATGAGCCGCGCCGGCGGCCTTCTCGAACGAGGAGCGGTTAACGAACGATCGTTCCGAGGGTAGCTCCGCCCACGATTCGCGACGGTTGTCAGGCAATCATCTAAGGAATGTTCCACTGAATGTCTTCAACAACGAGCCAGGTTCCTATCCGCGTTTGCTAGGAATCTACCTCCAAGTTTTGCGGAACTCCTAGTACAACTTGCACCCTCTCGTCGGCTGACTCACCTTGGTGAACCTCTACTCGTTCTCGACATTCTTGAGAGTTAATCGATTATTTATATTCTTTGTACGATTCTTCGATCGATTGAGGTGACAATTGAGATATTGAGAAAAAAGAAATACCGTGACATTTTTTATTCTTAAAGCTAATTATTCTAAAATAATCGGATTTTACAAGATCTGTTTTCTAACAAATATCAATTACAATCATTGCCATTTTTAAAACTGTATTTTATAATTTGTTTATTATAAAAGTTTGATACAGTAACTAAATATATATACATTTTTCTCGGAAAAATGGGCACGCCCTTTTTGCACTGACAAGAACATTAAACAAATAAAGCTCAGCATTGCATAGATTCGCATTTGCTGTTTCAATAATAACATTTCAAGTTATTCTAATAAGCCACAATTGTGAGAGAAAAGAAATCTGAGATTATTTAAAGTGTCGGAGATATAAAACCATCTGACGTGCCCTCGCGAAAAGTGGTGCGGATTCTTGACATGTGGATCACGAAAACGTGGGAATGAAAAATCCGATTGTCAAGTATCTCCTCGGTGAGGAAGTGCCGACGAGGGAGGAATACACGGACTGGCACGAGAATGTTAAGGGTGGTAAATCATCGCCGATGCTCGCCATCGATGCTGATAATCGCGACGAGCAGGAGATCGACGAGAACGAAACCGATGAGAGATAACGAAAGATGAAGGCGCTATCGAGCAGCAGAGTGAAAGAGCTCCAAGCCGTGCTGTTTCCGGTTCAACCCATTCCAGGTGAACTCCTTTAACGAGGATAATTGGGGGATGATACAGAATCAACAGCAAACTCGAACCGCTATTTATTCGAAACAAATTAATTCTCTATAATACACTGAAAATATACGTTATAAATTATAATCGCTTTCGATGTCAACTATATACTTTTTTACATACAGAACTATAAATATCTTTATTATTATTAACATTACAAATAACTGTAATAAAAATTGAGCTCCTATAATCGTAATTATTTTATGCATGCAATTAGCAATAAACACTTTTCTTGTAAGTGAATTGTAATAAACAAATGACTTTATACTATATTGAATAATAATTTGTGTGTATTTTATATGTATATACATGGGAAGAAATTTTGCTAACTGTAATAAAAATTTAGCAAGATACAAATCTGAAAATAATTTTCTTGAATCATTAAGATAATTATATAAGATGCTCAAGCATTATGCTGCAAAAAGTTGATATTCTAGTATCAACTTGAATGTCTTACATAATTTTACATAATTTCTTTGATAATCTATTAAAATTATTTTCAGATCTGTGTCTAATTAAATTTTTTAATACTTCAATCATTCTTTCCGTATATTTATGTTTTTATACTCTTGAACTATATAGTAGTTCCTGCACTTGAAATGCAGTTTTTATGCTGAAGGAATATCATATGCAATATCATATTATCAAATTGATTTTGAAATAGTGGAAAGAATATGATACATTCATAACAATATATGATCGAAGTGGCGATGAGGTCGCGAACCTACGGACATTGTACCCGATCATCGATCCTTTACTGTATGCAACATAAGATCGTGTTTCATTCTCTCGAAACCTAACGCCAATTCACCGAACTTCTCATTATGACACGCGAATAATTTAATCCGTAGGTCGGTGTAATCGTTTTCTATTTTTGCTCGTTTACAAGAAAAACTGCTTTGTCTTTTTCATTAATATTTTACGCATATAATCAAGATAACTAAGAAACTACTTAGAATGTTCCAATGGAAAATATCGAATTTTCTCAAGTATCATTTCGATTAATTTAACGAACAAAACTCAGATCATGAACTTATTTTTCTCATTAATGAATAAATGAAGTGAAATAAAAAATAAATTATATTTCCAAAATTACAAATATATAACTTTATTTTAAAATAATTGTAAGAATGGATTTTTTTTAATAACGTAGGTGGCATGCTCTCTGATCTAACGCCGCAAGATTTACAAGTATCTCAACTAGAACGTTACGAGAGCTCAGCTCTGAGACGAGACGCGGAATCGGCACTGTTCGCGATACCTTTGGATCTATCCAGATATCAGTATTCGAAGGAGGCCCTTCGAGCAGTACTTGATGCACGTTGCATCGTCGACGGAAGCATCCAGGAAGCGGCCAGGTGGCCGACCGAGTGCCAGGTGAAAAATGATGCACCTGCACCGTTTTTCATTTCACTTTTTCCGTTTTAGTTTTATTTCGATAAGCAGCCTTTTTCTGAAGACAAAATGCCGCGTATCGCTAATTCATGGTATATAATGTTAATTGCTCTACTTACACGAATTACAATTTTGATAAGAAATGCTTTGAAGTTTCTTACGGAGATAGACGATGTCATTAATTTAGTTCACATTCCGTTATTATGTTAAGCTAGTTGATATAGTAATTATGTAATTATATAAAATTAATCGAGATAATGACCTCTCAGGTGATCCCAGAAAGAGTTCGTCACATAGAGTACAACCCTGTCATACCGGAAGCCTTCTACGTGTCAACCGGAAAGGAACCGAGACCCAAACCAATCGGTGACGCGCTTGGAACGGTGATATTTCGTTACTGCCCAACTAACGTTACTAATTACGTAAGTCACGATATAATCTATATTTTTTCTTATATTTATTACCAGAACCGCCGATGGTGTCATTTTGAGTCCGCTAATCATTTCAATTTTTTTCTTAGTATTAAATATATTGTACAAAATATTAAAAACGTGAATAAAATATATAATAGAAATAATTTTAATGATATAAATAATATCAAAATAACTTTTCACTAACCGAAAACAAGAATAGGAAATTAACAAATTGGCATGTTTGACGATTCTTGCGGATATCATCGGTGGCGGTAATTCTAGTGATAAAGCGATAATTGATTCGAGTTTGTTTGAGGACGTTAAAACAC